CACAGCAGGAGAGGTATTGGAGAGAACAGTCCAGAGGGGCCTGGGAAGACAGGATGGAGAAAGCAGAGAAGAAAAAGGGGAGCTGGGAACACAGGGAAGAGAGAGACTAAAACTAAATGCAGTCCCTGGATATGGAGCCTATTTAAAAATAATGATGATAACCGAGCCCTTTTTCTTCCTGGTACAGTGCTGGAGTACATGAGGAGGACCAACAACAAAACCAAATGTGAGCATAGCCTGTTCATTCTCTGCCCCTCCTTCATTCCCTTTAGTAGCAGCTCCTGCCCTGTCCCCCACCACCCTGAGGTACCGTAGTCCTGTTCTACATTTCATTAGAACCAAGAATTTTCGGAACTTGCTCATATCAAAACTTAGCAATTGTGTGTTCCATTTTCTATGGCAGAGGATAGCTAATCCGAGAATCAACTAGAAGGTAACCTGATAAATGGACCAGAGAGCAGTGATGCTCTCAAAGTCAGCCCTCAGGGTCGGACAGTGGGTAATTGAATGCACCCTTACACTCAAGAATGCTGCAGGCACCTCTATGGGACTAATTTCCACGAAGCCCCCTAACCCAAAGGAGTGATGTGCCTAAAAAGTTTATTTTAAAGCTCAGTGCTAAGGTAAACTAACAGAACCATCTAAGCTTCCCTTTTCCCTTTGCCTGCCAGGAAACTCAGTGGTCCAGTTAAGCCAAGAACAACTTCATAATTAGACCCTCATGTTCACAGCAGATGGGTTCTTCTTCCACCCTATTCTAATTCAGACTTCTGACCTCTAGTTTTGTCTTTGTAAGATCTTTTGAAACTATTACACAGGATTTTTTTTTCCTCAAGCTTCCTCAAATACCTCACTGAAGGAATGGATGGCATCATCATTACTACAGAAAGAGACCCATCTCAGTGAACACTCTGATCATGAGTAGAAGGTAAGGAGACTGCAGGCAAAGACTCGAACACTGCCTGCCTCTGCCTGGTGGATTCGGACCATGGAGCCACACCCTCCAGACCAGCCCTGCCTCCAAGTCACAGTGCCCAGAGCCACACCGGGCTTGGTCCTAGAGTCAAGAACTGCAGGTCTCCAGTCTTCCAAGAGGGACCCAGGAGCAGCTGCCCTCCAGTCCCCCATCTCCCCCTTCTAACACATGAGAGTGACTCAGCGAGAGTGGCTTAGCAGGGCCAGTTCTGAGTGTTCTGTCCAGAAAAGGCGGGGGGGGGGGGAGGTGCGGAAGGTAGTGGTGTTAGCAATCAATGACAGTGGGTCCCACTCTTTCCTCAAGACTATTTTACGACTTCGAACTCAGTATGCAAATTTATGCAAGACAAGATGCAAAGCAGCACTTGGAGCCAGAAGTCCCATTGCTTTTCTCCCTCTTCTTTGAAGCTGCACTGAACCACTGTAAATCAGCCCTCGCCTCTGCCCCTTTTAAACTCCCCCAGCAACTGCAGATGCAAAGCCTCCCCAAGCCCGCCCGCCGGCCCGCCAGCCCGCTTGCCCTGGGACTTTGAATGACTGCACATTTCTATAGCACCTTTATAAGTGCAGCGGGCCAGACAGCCACTTGGGCGACTCCGCCCCTCGGCATAATCCCCGGCATTGTACACCGCAGAGAAGGAGGCAGGGGAGATGCTGAAGGAGCCAGTCCAGCACAGCCGAGGCCCGGAATTCTGAAAGGGCCCAGACTGGCCCAGGCCTGCTTCCACTTCTTCCCCTACCATTTCTAGGCACTTCTGCCCACTCTGCCATCAAACACACCCACACATTTCTCAGGTCCAGACTTCACGCAGATCTCAGGGTCCCCCTCCCATTTTTCTCCAGGCCCACCCACTCCAACCCCTGGTCTGGGTTTCTTCGAACCAACATGTCCCTGCCCATCACCCCACGAGATGCGGGCTCAGCACCCGCTGATGTGCCCACCCCCACCCCCTGCATCCTAGCCATCCCGGGAAGCCAGCAACACAGCCCCTGAGTCCAGGGAACAAAGACAAAAGAGCTAACAGCAAAGCCGGAACTGCTGGGGTTTGCTGCCTCGAAATAAGAGGATATGTTTAAAATTCTCAAAAGCAACCTGTTCAAAGAGGAATGCAGGCTGGGATGGGGGGGGGCTCATTCATCAAAGGGGGAAGAAGAAATGGGTAATGGAGGCGGCAGCAGCTAAGGTCTCATCTGGGCCACCGTCTGCACGAACACCCCACCCCCGCATTCTCCACGCAGCACCCCCACCCTTGCCCCCTGTCTGAGACCCTCTCCTGCACAGAAGCCTCAAAACTTGCCCTTCTCTCTTCCCTGAGCCCCCACAAGCCCAGACTTCTCCCCACGGGGCCCCCCTTCCCCCAGTTCTACTCACACCTCAGACACCCTGCTCTTGGCACTTCTTTCCAAGGGGTCCATTCCAGTTTCCATCCCCCTTTGCCCCTCCCCTATCCACCCACCTGGGTGCCCCTCTTCCCAGGGAAGGCGGCTGTCTGGCCATTGGGAGCAGGCTAAGGAGGCAGCTGGGGCTAGCTGGCGGAAAGGAGTCCCACAACCAGGCAGAAAATCCAGAGTGACATTCTTCCCATGAACTCAGCCCATTGTCCCCAAGCTCCCCTGACAACTCTCCCCTTCAGATTCTTGGGAGGAGTGAATGGGAGAATTTCCCGCATCTGCTCCCTCTGAAGACCCTAACCTGCCTCCGGGGCTTGGGAGGCAGGAGAGAAGGTTTATTCAGGCAATGAGAGGAATGAAGAGTGAAAAAAATACTAAAACATTTAGGAAGGACGTGTCTTACGCACTTGAGTAAAGCAGTCAAGATCCAAACGGTTCTATGAACTTGGAGGCCTTTTGAACCAGAGTTCACCCTGCTGAGGCAGATGTTTAGTTTGTCAGAGTTCAGCTCAGAAACCACAATACCTCCCTGGAGGACCACGGGGTGCGAGGGGGCGATGGAGGAGGAATGCAGGATCGGGGGGTGGGATGGGAGCCCCCCAGTGAAAGGATCTCTTCTGAGTCTTATTCCTCTTATGATTACTCTCTAAGAGAAGCAGAGGGAAGGGTTAACTTCGAGGCAGGCTGGGTAGGGAAGCCACAGTGAGAAGAAAGGGGCTGAGGGGTTCCGCTTGGAGGAAGCCTTCCTAACTCTCTGTGCACTCAAGGTCAAAATGCACCAGAAAAAAGATTCCAACTCCCACCCCTACTGTATTCTCAAGGAGAACGGGAGAAAAAAACAATCGCAGGCTAAAGGAAGGTGGGGGAGGGGTCGAGGGGGGAGGGGGTCAAGACGTTGTACAAAGCGAAGAAGCAAGCAAGAATGTTCTCACTTTTTCTTTTCTTTCTTTCCTTCTTTTCCTTTTTTTTTTTCCTCTTAAGTTAGAGAAACTTGGTCTGACTCGCTTGCTTTTTCAACAACATCAGCGGGCAGTGGACACATTACACCAGTCTCCCAGAGCAAAGAAAATAATTACAGCTTCTCCAGACCACTGGGGCAGGAGGCTTTTATAATTTAAAAAACAAAAAGCCAACAATACCAAACACGTGAAATCTCTATAGCCTGGTGGTGTCCCTCAAAAACCTTGTTTGTGGAAGATGAGGGCCCCTTACAACGACTCTCAGGGCCCCCATTCTATGGTATAGGAGGAGCTCCCTCAAATTAGGATGGGGTGGGGGTAACACACTCCAGTAAGGGAAGTTGCCTCCCGGCCCAGGCATCCTCCTGCTGGCAGCCCGGAGGCTCAGATCCTAAACTGAACAGCATGACTGCCCCCCTCCACTCCCCGCCCCGCACTGCAGCCGGCGACCCGGCTTAAGTTACACTGACTCAAAGGCTGGGGTCTCTTGCTCGCCTCCCAAATGCCCTTCTTCTATTGTTTCACTCAACATAAAAGAGCCCTCGTCCTCTTTGTAAAAGAGCAGCGTTCCTCTTTATTTTTCCCCTAAGCAGTCCACCCTACAAAGTAACAATTCTTTTCTTTCCACCTCACAATCCCAGAAGGAAGGGACTTCAATGGGCCGCTGCCTTCTCCTAGCGCCCCCTTCTCACCAGAGGTCCTTGGTTTTCACCGGTACCCGCCATCCTCCTCCCCCTCCAGCAGCGTCCTCCACCAGGACCTCTCCAGGAATCTTCGGTCGGCGGTCACCGGCTCCAGCTGTACCCTAAATAAGCTTCAAGCTCCTACTCTCACCGATCTGACCAATACCCTTCTCCCCAGCAAATTCCCCTCCAAAACTGAAGTCTGGGTTCCATCGGGAAAGCTTACGGTAACAGGGATGACTTCCCTCTCCGCATTATTCCCCACCAAATAAGTAGCTGGGGCCCTTCCTCATGGTCGAATTCCAGTTCCCCTCCCCGGGCCTGACTTTCGGGTCCCTCCTCCCAACACTCCCCCAGAGCCGGTCCAGGACTCCGCTCTTCCTGCGACAAACGGTCTCTGAAGTCCCGCTGCACATTCCTTCCCTACAGAAGGGCCGCCAGCCAGGATCACCCAATGCCCTCCAAGTTTCTCCGAACTAGTTGTCCCAGCCCGCGTTACCTGCAACCTGCTCGGGGC